CCCCGCATTTTTTTTTTTTTTTACAGTAGCCCAGAATGGACAAACCACATACTGGCGTGAATTGATGTGTTGTGTAGATAATTCTGTGCCATGGTCAAATTGTGGGTGTTTTTCCTATGCTTCTAAGTCTGAAGATAAAAACTATGTGTTTCTATCATTTTAACTCCTTCAGATCAACATATTACCAAGATAAAGAAGGACATTCTTGTATCATTTGGAGTTTTGCAAAAGCTGGTGTGTTTCTGAGGTTTCTGCCAGCATCTGCTCTTATTCTACAAGCTGTAACTACAAACTTGACATTGTCTAACAACTTAGTTAACCAAGATATTTGCAATATAGCAGCCAGAAATTCTGCTATGTTTCTGAGTCTGCCAGTCAAAGCATCTTTACAGGAAATGTCCTTGTTCTACTCGTGTTAAGGGATGCCTCAGGGTCAGGGTTGTTCATTCAGTTGGGGGCAGAAACGGGTGTCACCAGTGAAAATGTTGCTAGCAAAATTTCCTGAGGAAAGCAACAATCAGATTCACATGCAGAAGGTACAGTACAGCAAAGGCGTTCTTCAACAGCAATGAAATCTATAAGCATTTAAGCCATTACAGGTAATAACGGTTCTCATTGTGAAGTAGAACTGGTACTAAAACAGAATTTGGTACTAACAGATGTAATTAAGCATAGTAAAAGCGAAATGGATGCTACTGAATGCTACAATGGTGGCAGTTCCACTGTTAAGAATGAATATAAACATTTTAGTTTGGCTATACAAATGCACAGTTGAATGGTTGGATGGATTGGCCAAGTATCCTGGGTTTTCCATGCAGTGTTAGTGGAGGGTTGGGGGAGGGCTGCAGTCATGCAGTTACATGCATCAGGCTGACGTAGCCCACGCCCTTTGTCAGTGATCACTGTTTGCGTGAACTAGCCAGTCATTCAAACTCTTCCTCCTCTTTAAGTCTGATTAGTTTTCCCTGTTTTCTATTTCTGTCAGGCTCTGAAAGCAGGCAGTGCTCAGAAAAATAGACTACCGACCAGCCCCTCCATTCTCCTTACTCCTGCGCTTTTTATCTATCATTTTGAGCCTCTTCTCTTCCCGTAAGCGGAGCTCCTCCTCCTCCTGGTCCTGCCGGCACTTGTGGAAGTTCTCCACCACGACACCGACAAACATGTTGAGGACGAAGAAGCTGACGATAAGCAGGAAGGAGATGAAATAAAGCAACATCCAGGGGTTGTGGTTTCTCACAGGCTGTGGAGAGAAGAGTGCAATAAAAGCGAAGGCAAGACAGGAGGTTGTCAAAAGTTCTTACACATTCAGAAAATAGAGCGATGTGAGTTCTTTGTCAGCATAGCATTTACAAGAGTTATCTGTTTTCTAGTAGCTCACTTTATTATGTTGAATCTGAGGACAGCAACATATGAAGCTTTGAAGCCTGTGCTATAAACGCCTTCCAGCCTTGCTTTCACTTATAATCTGTCACATTTACATTGCTGCTATTTGGCATTTTTAAAAGAAATATAAATGTTATTGTTCACTTTCAGGCTTTCTATTTTTCACTTTATTTTCCAAAGTGTGTTTGTTACATAAAGGAAATTTCTTATGTTGATGTCAGAGCCTCTACTGTGCAGTACAGTTCAAATATATCAAGTCTAATTATAGTATAATTTTATTGCCAATTATGCTGAATTGGATCTGAATAATTACAGTAATGAATTAGTAAGGTGTGATCTAATCTTAGTTTGCATTCATACACATACAGCTGCACAGTGTGAATTTAGCCAAGAGTAGGTTTAAAACTTATATTGTACTGTAAATTAACACATAACATTCGAGGTGAGAGTAGTGTCCGTGTATGTGTTCACAGAGTAAAGTGGGTTATAATACAAAAAGGAACTGAAGGTGGATCAGGCTTTGCAGAGCAGATACCTGGGCCTGATCACAAACCTGCACAACAACCCAGCACAATTTTTCACAAAATTACCTGTTTGTCTACTCCTACTGCATCCAGCCCATCATACATGATGTTGACCCAGCCATCCTTACATGACAGTACAAACAATGACATCAGGGCCTGGATTAAGAAACACAGAGATGTAATTCACCACACTGGGGTAATCCCATTCATATAATTAATAGTTTTTTTTTTAATGAACAAGGAATAAAGCAGTGCTTTACAAAACATACTGCTGTGCTGTAATGCTTTGTTTGTACTTCTGTCTCCATGTCTGACGCTGTGTGTTAGTGTGTACCTGAATCAGATTGTCAAAGTTGTACTTCCTTTTTACCCAGCTGTATTTTGCCTGCAAACAATCTGACTTGGTGGTGATGTTTTTCATGTCAAGACCTTCGCAGTGGTAGAACTTCCCTTTGAAAAGCTAGAGAGAGAGAAACAGAGAAAGATGTCTGCATGGCCATTTATACCTTATGTCAGTTGCACCAGGGCTTGTGGCTTTTTAAACATTTAAACACTTAAAACAACTATTAATGTCAGAATTTTCAAAGTTCGTTCATATCAGAGCTTTTTCCTGGCTGCTCAGTTAAAAGCTGGAGCCTGGAGGTTGTGTCCCTTTTCACACTTAACCAAACTGTCACTCTTTTAAACTTCACACTCTGAAAAAAATGAATGCTTATTGTCCATTCAATATTCAAGACACTTCCAATCCCCCCTTGAGCCACAATCACATGTGGAGCTGCTCTAGGCTGACATTTAAGCCACAAAGGGTTTGAAGCAAATGACAAAGCAGTGTCATCAGTGCAGCATGCACATTGGCTCTCTACTAGTTTACATGTCTGTGATTCCTGTAAGGATGCAGGTGTTTGTGTGTGTTACTGTGTGTGAATGCAAACTACCTGCACCCCCAAGATCCCAAAGACAATGAAGAAGGCGCAGCAGATAAGGACAATGTTCCCGATGGGTCGAAGTGAAGTGATGAGAGTCTCCACAACCAGCTTCAGTCCTGGTGCTCGGCTGATTACCCTGGAAAATGCAAATTTAGATGTTTGTGAATACCAGACTGTGTAGTCCAGTACCTGCAGACCCAAATACAAGTAACAGAAATACCTCAGTGGGCGTAGTGTTCGTAGCAGGCGTAAGACCCTGAGGATGCCCAGGATCCTGTTTTCACTAGCATAGGCCAGAGGGACCAGAATGTCGACCAGGGACACAAACTTGTTTCCACCAACAGAGGCCATAGAGACCAGAATGTCGACCAGGGACACAAACACCAACACTCCATCCAAAATGTTCCAGCTGGACTGGAGGTAGCTCTGCTTCCCAAAGCAGAAACCCAGAGCTACAACCTAGTGTTAAAGCAACATACACTGAGCCACCAAAGTGACACCCTTGTGGGATTATTTAAATATTATCTCACCTGTAAATCAGAGATACAGCTACTGAATGACTGATTTAGAATGAAAAACAACTGTCAAAATGGTAAAACGTTTACCACACCTTTCTACCACACCGGTGGCAAGAAAACAGTGATGTTTACCTTAATGGTCATCTCTGCCAGGAAGATCACAGTGAAAATGTAGTTGGACACACTCAAAAACAGGCGCTCCTACAGGGGAGAGGGAGATCAACTTTTAAATCACATACTGTATCCATAAATGACACAGACATAAGACAAAGTCAGACTAGACATTTTGCATTCACACAGCAGATGTTGAAATGGACCTGGTGCTGGCTGTTGTTTTATGCAGACCTTGTCTTCCTTGTCTTACCCGGCTTTCCTGCTGTATGTCAGGTCTTTCCAGAGCAATGGTGATACAATTGAGGAAGATGAAAACCAGAACCACATGGTCGAACATTTTGTGAGAGATCACGCTTTGGCACCAGACACGAAATCTAAAGACACACACATGCACAGGTCCGTAAAATGCCCGTAGTTGGGTAAAACTATTGACTGAACAATTAGCAGTGAGAAAACAGTGAAAAAGAAGATGAATGTGAGAAAGAAGCTGAGATAATTAAATAGAGAGGAGCAAAGAAGAGGAGAGAGGAGAAAGAGAGCGAGGAACTTAACTGAAATCAGAACCACAGAGACTGTTACTAAAACACTGTGTGTGACTCACGGGCTTTGTGGAGAGAACAAATACAGCGTCCAGTCTTCATGCTCTTTGCAACAGCGAGGCTTTATGTTACGGAACTTTTTTCTGATCCAGTAGCACAAAACACTCTGTAACAATAAGAATTTCATTACTATCAAGTGATCATTAGATATTACTAATATCATTTTTGTTCACCAATGTCATCATCTTTATTCTCCACACTGAAACAATCATCTAAACAAGGGAGCAGCAAGAAAATGGATGGGCAGAAATCCATGTCACGGCAAATCAATAAGACAAAGTACTGTTGGGCCAGTCAAGGCTAAACACACTCATTCTGATTCGGAAAAATATAAAATGCCCAAAATGGTCTAAAAATGGTTCTGTTTTCAGGCAACTGTACTTTTTTTCTTGCTTAGCTGTCAGACAAATCAATACATTTCTTTTAAATGGCTAGAGCGACAATAGGTTTTGCAACAATGCCACTAGAGGGACAATACATCTTTAATCGTCTCCAAAGATGGATGATCGCTCTTACTAAACTTTTATAAAGTGAAAGCATTCCTTTTTAAAGTGCTGGTGAAAACAGGTGTTTCTGTTGATAAATGCATGTTGTATAACATCACCGTCAAATAACAGAAAATGCATTTGACGTACTCCGTCAACAACTGCACCAGAAATGTAATTAAAAAAAAAACAACAGAGTTTATCGTCAGTTTCCACACTGTTGCTGGTGTTACCCCTTCCACACTGAAATCTAAGAGGGCACAATAAGAAGTAGAAATGGAGATAATTGGACCATAACAGACGAACTCCTGACTTAGCTGGTTCATGAGCTCAATACAAAGTACTGTGAAACTCATTAAAGTTTGGAATAAAACAAAGTGAAGTAGGTGCACAGCTTCTGTGCTTCAGGATTCTAATTAATAACAGCCCAAAGTCAAGCCTCCCAGACATCGCTTATTATACAGGCTGCCATTTGTGCACGTGTGTGTGAACCTGCTGTCCAGATATCTCTGCAGCTTAAGTCCCTAATTGTTGATACAGACACACACACACACACACACACAGAGGGACGTGTATAAATACACAGGTCTCGGCTGGCATATCACACACACTCCTGCATGCTCCTGCATATGCACATGCAAGAGACACCGTACATGTACAGCCTGGTAGAGGGTTTGCATTAAGCGTCCCATTTTCAGTGCGCCCAGGGAGAGACCTTTTGTTTCAGTGGATTTCATGGCTCTGTAAACTCAATTTGGAGCCAATAAAACCATCAACACTGTCACAACAGAGGTTATCCAAAATCACCAGGGACTACACCCAGGTTCACACACACAAAAATGCACAACCACAGTGACTGTACATGCAGCTGTTTTGTAGCCACTGGAAAACAATTTACTGGCCAAGCCAATAAATTATCTAATTAGTGTCCCTAACAGTGTGAACTCACTGTTATTTCTCTAAGACAGAGACAAAGGGCAAAGAAGACAAAGGAGAATTGGGTAAGCAGAGAAAGACTGATACAAAATGTGTCAACAGAGTCAGAGAGGGCAGATGAACAGATTAATAATTTACATAAGAAAGCAAAAACACAGAGCATCAGCTGTTCAGCACAACTGTCACCAGTGAAATAGAAGAAAGACGTCATGCTGGGGACTTTTAAAAGCTGCTACAAGATCTCACTGTAGATTTCCTACATGATATTTTGAAAGCTATGACTCATGCTAGCTTACATCATCATCGCTGTCATCCTCGTTCGAGGAGTCTTCCTTGGGTTTGGAGTCAGGGTTGTAAGTCAGGGTTCGGCCGTTACAGTCACCATGCTCTGTTGTTATGGAAGGGCACAGAGTAGATGCCTGCAGCAGCTCAAAGGTCCCCGGCCCTGGTCTGTTGTTTCCCCCAGCCTCTCCCTTGTCCTCCCTGCCATCTTCCTCTTCTCCGGACAACAGGCTCTCCCTCTCTCCACTGGTGTCTCGCCTTTTGAGGCTCGGCGCTCTGCTCAGGCTGTTCCAGCTGGAGCGACGACTTCCCCATGAGCTGCCGGACCCACGGGTGGGAAGTGGGGAGCGCTGCCCCGGACTTGAGAGGCTCTGGAGAGAAAGGAAATATGGTTAAGCAATGCGTGTATACACAAAGGTTGCAGTAGTTTTTCAAGGGCTATCTAAGAACAAAGTCATCCAACGTTATTGAAGACATTATGTACGTAAACATTTTTCAAGAGAAGCTTCAGCTTGAGATTCCGGATCCTCTGTCTCTTATGCAATAAAAGTGTTTGTGTCATTCTCTTCAGGTTATTTTCTTGACATATTGCTGTGAACTCATCAGGTCCTTTGTGGTCTTCCGTTTGGGACCACAGGGTGTGTATACATGAAGCTTGTCTCAGTCCACTTCTTGCCAAGGCTTCTGCTACAGTATGTATAGCATATGCTTTGCATCTACATCCTCCTTATAGTCATTTTAAAACCTCTTTCCCACTTGATAGCAGCTTTGCAGGCTGTGAATATATGTTCAGTTGTATTTGTGTTGTTCTGCATCAGCAAAAGCATAAAGGGCTGTTATGTCTATTACATCTGATTCCTGAAGTAAAGAACACGGTTCACTCCACAGCTCAGCTCCCTGAGGAGCAACTACTGAACTGAGCTAAGATGGTCTATCTTTGGAGGTACTATTACTTAAGGGAACAGGAGTTCATTTTGGGATGTAACACTTACCATAACATATACTGTATATTACACAGTTCTCTTTATACTGCATTTGGCACCTACCTTTATCAGTGATGACCTATTGGTTTGTTAATGGAGTAATAACAAGCACATTTTTCCATTTAGTGTTTCTTATAACTCACCAGAGAATGCTGGTCATAGGCTAAAGGATCCAGTGAGGTGGCGCTTCCACGGCGTGACTCTACGTGACCAGTTCCCTCAGAAAACCCCAGTCCAACCTTGTCATATTGAGGCACACCTTCCCTGTACATGAGCTCCTCCCCAAGGATGGACTCAGGCCCCAGGGAGCCCTTAGGAGTGGGCATGGGTGTGGCTGGGGGGGGGCACGAGGGGCAGCATGACCATTAGCTGTCATCATCAGAGAGTACATCTTTAGCTCTGTGGAGGAGGAGAAGGGAGAAAGTCTTTGTTTTTTAATTTGTCAGACCTGAGACAACAAGACAAAGCACATTCTGAATTAAACAGTAGATATCAGCTGTCACTGAACCTACCAGTGTCTCTGAGCTGTTCTATCTTCTCATCTTCCTCAAAGTTGTCTGATTTTTTCTCGTCATCCGACTCTGACCGATTGGCATCACCCTATAACACACACATCCGTGAAAATAAGCATTTTTTCTGTATTCCTTCCCCCCTTTTCTTGATTTAACCATCATGGAGGAGATTACAGGTGCTGATTTTTAAAATGAAGACACAGAGCAAATGGACCCGGACACATGCTGCTTTCGGTGCTAAGAGGATATTTTCACAGTTGAAGGTGCACTGTGCCCCAGGTGTGCACATGATCAGAGGGATGGAGAAGGAAGGACTGATCATCTGAAATGATCAGCGGGACTGGTAATAATGGTAATCCTCTCCTCCCCTTCGAAAACAAATTGTGCAGTATAATCACACAAAGCCAGAGTCCTGCATCTTAAAACACATCTCATTTGAAAAATGATATGAGAATAAAATGATTATTTGTTTTTAATTCTGCCCATTCAGAGCTTTTCAAGTCGCATATTTAGAAATGATAAATGAAGTCATCGTATGCAAAAATCAGCAGTTATTTTCACCTCAGCCTGAAAGCCCTCAACCAGGATGGCCACTAGTAAATTGAAGAGCACATAGTTGCCAAATGTCATGAGAGCAACGAAATAGAGAGCTGCCCATGGAGACGTGGAAGCCATTCCGTTGTACAGCACCACGTTCCAGTCCTCTTGGGTCAGAATCTGTGGATAAAATAAAACACAGACAGAGATTTAGACATAAATAAGAGCTGAGGACATGGGGGAAAGACAGAAAGAGGGGAGACACAGAAAGTCAAGAAGAGAAAATGAGCAAAACAAGGTTTTACAGCTATTGTTGGGTGTAAACCACTTTACTTCAACTTCATATACATGGGATTCCTCTAACCTGACTATGTAGGTGTCTGTTAATGTGCCTGTGTTTAAATCAGAATCATTTAAACCTACAGTACGACTGTGTTCAAGATGCAGCATAAGAACTCGCCCTGTCTTCGCCCCCTCATTAAACACTGTGCTGTCTGTGTCAATGTGTGTCCGTACACATGCATGTGCATGTGCATAGGGACTGCATAGTGAGCACAGCTCCATGTCAGCATCTCTCACACACAACAAAGTGAGACAGTCCACCGCGTTCTGCTCTAACTTTCCGCGGCCGCGTCTAGTGTTGGGAAAAAAAAACTTTCCAACTGGCGAGCAAAGAACATGCTGTTAAGTCACATGATCAATAACAGTACTCAAAGCATCTGAAGTGCAGTTAGACAGAGCATAAATATTAAACAATGCAACAAATTATATTAATAATGCATGACAATAACTAAATGTTTCTCCTAATTAAAAGACCTGCTGTTAGTGGCAGATTCACATGGTAATTACTTCATGGATATGAAAATGGTATCAGTCTTTTTATTCTCAGCAAGAAATGAATCATATTCCTCAAAACGTATTCCCTTACAGTAGGTTAAGTACCAGTACAATTTAGGTTACCGTAAATCAGGGAGTCAAAAACTAACCTGGAATACAGTGACAATGGCCCAGAGCAGAGTGTCAAAGTTCTTGCGGTCAGGAATCGTGTCTCCATTCTCCGTACGAAGGCCAAATTTACAACCAAACAGATGCATACCCAGTATACTGCAGATACATAAGAACCATTATGTTGTGCATGTACTGTATGTATTTTGCTGGGTGATAACACTAAATATAACATTTAAGACAGATTATCTAAGAAGGTCACATGTGTTGTCTCCGAATACCTGAATGTGAAGATGAAAAGCATCAGCAGCATGCAGAATGTGGCCACATTGTCCATGGTCTTCATCAGCACGACCAGCTGTCTCCTCAGGGCGGGGAGGAACCGAACCAGCTTCAGCACCCGCAGCAGACGAAAGGTTCGCAGGACTGACAACCCACCGTCCGCCTGACCAGTTATTTCCCACACACTGAAAACCACAAACAAGTAGAAGTCTTAAAACTCTACCACATGTATGTGATACTAAAAATGTAGTGTTAATATGGGTTATTACTAAAGTCTCAGATTTTAGTATTTATTGCCACTGTCATCATACTTGCTGGTAGAAACTGGATAAACATAGTGTAGTAATATAGCGCATTTAGCCATTCGATAGAATATCTAATTACATTACAAGAATTTATCTAAAAATAGTTTTACAGAATGTACCATGTTTAGTTTTAATGAAGCTCATAAAATCTGGGCTGAATTCCCCTTCAGCAACACAACTGGAAACTTCAAAAAAACGAGTTCTATCAAACTAAATAACAGCCAAACAGAAATCCCCAACTCCCAACAGGACCAAGAATCTGCTGCAGCAGCGAGCGAAGCTGCTCACGTGTAACTCAGGCTATTGGATGGTGCATTAGGAGCCACCCGTCTTCACAGTTTTACTTCACATTTCCTTTTTAAAGCTGATGAAGCGGGTGAATAAAAATCACCTGATGATAACGATGATGCTATCAAAGATGTTGTACGGGTTCCTGATGTATCCAAACAAGCCAAAGGCCAGCAGCATGAAGCCCATCTCCAAGACAAACATACTGGTGAAGACTATGTTACTGATCTCTAACACATCAGTCAGCTCCTTAGGCTGGAGAGAGAGAAAGCAACGGGGAGGGTGGGGGGGGAGGAAGAAGGAAAGAAAGAAATAATGAACATGTTATTGAATACATCTGTTGTCTTATCCCAGAGCTGTAAAACAATTGTGATTTTTGTGCCCTGAGCTGATCATCAATCACATTCAGTGCTGCAGTCAGGCCCAATCAGTCAAATGGGACCAACAGCACCCATCTATCACTGCTGATCCACTTCACTTGCCTCACGGTCTGTGATCCAGCAGAGATCTGTCCAAGGCCCTCTCATAAAGCATGCACTAAGGTCTTCTATGGAAAACACAGCGATTTTGTGCTCTGGTAAAGCCATTATGGAGCCACATCCTCACATTTTCTTTATGGAAATACTTTGTCTTGAGCTAAATGTGACACAAACTGTACCATATCCAGTATTATCATTTGACAACATTCATCTCTGCAACCTCATTATTGTGTTTCTTGAAGCAATCCAATGTGGACTTTGAGGTCTGCTATTGGATCATTGTCTTAGAAGACAGCCCCTTTTCCACGTCACTTGCTTGACTGACTGAATGTCATTTGCATCCAGAATTTGCTAATGATTAGTGGAATTCATTCTTCCCACAGTTTCCTGTGTCACTGGCTGTCACACAACCCCCAAAGCAGAATATCACCTCATGGTCTTTTGGCAAAAAAAAAAAAAACAACATTAAGAGAGCAAATGTATATGTATGTGGACTTTCTTCATTGTCGCTCAAGCTGAAATCTCATCTCCTGTATTCACACTAAATGTGTGAAAAATGTCATTCTAACACTTTTATATTGTCAATTTTTCTTACATTTCATCTTGTATTTCTCCCTTTGACGGTATCATCGATTGGTAACAAGCTTCCTACAGATTTACACATGATGAATAATAATGATGTGCAGAGACTCTTTAGCCAGTGATCCATAATTTTATATTTGTGTCAGGCAATGAAGACTCATTAAAACTAATTGCGATTCTTTTCAACCCATTTTGTGTCCTGGCTCATGGCATATACACGCAGACAGAGCATATTCTGGACTAATAAGCACACTCAAAAGTTTAATATATAACATCTGACACATGCTGTTAGATCAGAGTTAACCTTCATCCTGGGTTACTTTGCATCCTCTTGACTGTGTGAACACAATGTGCATATAAATGTGTCTGCTAAAGCTGGAATCTGAAGGAGGATTTCTCCTCCACAATCATATGTAAGTACATCATGTAAAAAGTCTGGAACATCTCTTTCTTTATTTTATTAAATGAAAGTGTCGTTATCTGTATGTATGATTATGGTTATTTCAGGTTCTTTTGGCATGATGACACAATGGTTGGCGCTGTCACCTCACAGCAAGAATGGATGGATGGTTATTTCATATGATGCTTAGGAAGCACAGTCAAACTCTCCCGATATTAAAACAAGTATATAATAGTTTATTCTAATGAAAATCATAACTTTTACAAACCATTTAATCCAATGATGCTTCTACTGAAGTATAAATGAGAATCATGAGTATGGTCACAGATAGAGGGCGCCATACAACACAGGACTCCTCAGAATTTCACTCAGACTCACAAACACAGAGTCTCCTGTGAAAAATTACATATTGTACTTTTTACAACCAACTTCCAAGACTAGAAGAGGTGAGTGTTTCCTATTGAAAAAGTATAAGAAAAGTATAGTGGTTAATACTGTATAGTTTCCAGTTGCTTTAAGTGCACGTTATAGGTCATTTTTCTATACTTTAATTTATCATAAGAAAAATTTTTAATGCAGAAATGAACTGAGGGTTTTATCAGTGCAGCAGTGGTGATGATTTTTATTTATCTGAATACTTCCTCTACCGGCTGAAAATTCATTTTGAATAGAGTATCACTTTACTTTAGATCTCACTGCATTTTTGTACGTATGTTAACGGCTTCATGTAAGCAATAATACATCACTGTATGAGTCACTGTATTGTCACATGCTCAGATTTCATACTGTGATCAGTAAAACAGACAGGGTTACACACAAACACACACAAACAGGCTGTTTGTCTTAGTGAGTGGACACAGAGCCTGTGTAATCCACTTGGAACGGGTGTGTGTCGGGTTCAACATCAGGCCAATGCGCTGATCCATTATTTACATTTCAGCTCCAGTTTGATTGTTGTGAAAAAGATTACTGCCAAAGCTGGTCTAACTGGGATCTCACTGTCAATGTGAACTGGGCTGTGGTATGTGGAGGAGACCTACAGCGTACTGCAGCGTTGTGTAACTTAAAGCATACGGCATCTCATTTTCTGTATGTTTACTATTGAGTTAATTGGGACAGTACTGAAGCTGGAAAGCAGAAATACTTGTTCAAGCATAAATGGACATGCAAGTAAAGTCAGGGGACTCGAGTACAAATTATGGTGTCCTGCAAGGTGAGAAAAACAAGGCCATGCTGTTTTTTTTGTAAGTGCTGGACAGACAGTTGTTTGCTGTCCAGGCTGTTTGTTCCCTCGCTGACTAGCCAGCACATTGAGCTTTAAAGGAGCTCTCAGTCAACTATTCTGACCGAGCACACACAACACTATTCTAACATACATTATTAATTAAGAGAGTGGCATTTTGATTACCTCTGTAGCCTATTGTCTTCACACCATAAAAATGAACAAGCAAACTGAGGACTTACAGGGCCATAGTTACCATATAGTGCTAGCTGCCAGGTTTTTATGACAAATGTATCTACTGTATGCTCACTGCTTTACAGTGTGCTGAGAGGGGGGAGTGCAATATGGCTGACAGTGGGTTAAAACAATACAAAACACAATAGCTGAAGGGCACAAATATAAAAGGCACTAAAACCTCTGGCATGGACTCGAAACAAAACCAAATCAGCAAAATAAATTCTGGTCCTGGGTAATGCACAAACCTACAAGTTTGTAGGAAGCTAGCTTTCGTGAGTTATATTAAGAAGCAGGGTCTATAAAAAAAAATATGGGTAGGAAAATGAAAAGGATCCCTCTGCCCTACATTAATAAATCCCATCCAGATGCCCTTGAGCAGTCTGCTTAATTTTATAAGAGCAGTTCTAGATTGGCATGACTACTATGTGAGTGGTTTCAAGATAAATAGACACTGAAGCATAAATCAATTTAATAAGGCCAATGTATATAATTTACTATGGTCCCCTATGAACATTCCAAACTTCAGCTTTAGACGTCGCTTTGCACTGCCATCATTAGTTTGATAGACAAAAGAATCAATCAGAATTAAATCATGTGCTTCTGCCTTCTGTACAGCTCAGCATACGATCTTACGAGGAAAGGAACCACAGCAGAGGCAGAGACACGCACACATGTACAACCACAGCTTCTCTGGACGGGCCATTTACAACGACTGACATGATATATACACCATTAACAAAATGAGCACTACGCTCACACACTCAAACTGAAGTATCATGTGACTGTATATTTACAGTGTGATATTTTATTTCAAACCTATCTGACATCAAGCAAAGAAACTTGGAGCCCATTCTTTCTTTCGATGTGTTTCTGAACACATTTAAGAATGTTTGTGAGCAGAGTTGGAAAGTCAATAAGTACATGTGGCATTTTTACACTTTGCCGTTGCTACTTAAGTAAACAATCCGAGTACTTCTTCCACAACTGTATTAAGCAAAAAAGTTACCTATTGGATTTTTCAACACAGTTACAACAGCACTTACCAACACTGTGCATTTTTTATGTTTGTATGTGTATATTAATTTGTAAACATCAGCCTTGAGGATCTACCATCCATGCTGCTGTTTGTGAGCGATCAACTTGTGCCAGTCACTGTTAAAACATCTGTATGTTTTTCTTAATTAGTTTTCAGAAGCCGGAGCTACAGTTTATGTTGTATTAAAGCCAGTTAATCTGTATGTAACGTCAGTGTGTCATGAGGTGTGTGACGTTACTGACAGTTTAGAAACTGACTTGATTGGATTAAATCAGTTAGCTCACGTGAGGTTTCTCCTTCAGAAAGATTCAGTAACAGAACCTAATTCCAATGTGAAATCAGTGTAAACAAGCATCAGTCCTCTCCCTCTTTCTCTCTGTCTCTACCTCTCCTCCTTCTACACTCACACTCCTACGTCCATACACCTCTTCACACACACATGCACTCGTAGGCTCATAAAGTTTTGCTAGGTGTCACATAATGGGGATGATGAGTACTGAGGGGAGGAGGAGCTCTTACATAACACTTTAGTCTGTGTGTTATTGGCCCAATAAGGTCATGACTCTCCCAGTCACTCCTCATGTTTATACCACAAAGATAGAAACACACATCCCCTGGGGAGGGAATTGGAAGAGAGGGAGGCAAGGAGAGACGGAGAGAAGAAAGGAGGGAACGGGCCGTGTGCCTGCACAGGAAACTTCTTTCTGGGTTTCTATCCATTTGCTTTTCTGGTGGAAAATGAAAAGGTTGTGGACGTGAGTGTGCATATAAAATGCACTTATTCTGGTGTAGAAACTGTGTAGATCAATTTCTCTGTGCAACAAGACAAATTTGTCAGTGTGTGACAGTGGAGGAAGGGAACGGGCAGCGGTATTATTAGTCCGATACTTCCAGATGTTGTCCACAGAGGGCAGGATAGAAATCCTGGAGAGTGGGTGTAAGTGATGAGATGACTAATTGTGTGTAAGTGTGTGAGGAAGAGAGGAAGAGTGGCTGCCAACTCCTCCCCGCACTTCACCTCACCTCCTCCCTCACTACACCCTCATTCGGGACTCCGACACACAAATGCCATTTTCAAATACCCATTTTTTTCAGCCAACATTTTCCATCAGACAACTTGTTTCTCTATGAAAGTCAGTCATAGCCCTCTTGGTTGTGAACCTTTCTGACCTTTCATTCACCTTACATCACATATACAGTATTCTCACCTGCTCGTGGTACTCTATCCCCATGCTGAGGGTATTGACAAGGATAGCGATCATAATCCCTCGGTTGAAGTATTTACTTTCCACAATCCTCTTCAGTTTTTCCCTGAAGTCTATCCAGGCCTGAGCCGCTCCGCTTCTGTATTCCACAGCTCCCCGCCGTCTGCTCCAGCCTCTCACAGCTCTCAGATCTCCCCCCTAGATGGAAGATGGACAAGTCATTTAAAGTGTGGCAACACGAGAGAAAATGCTGATTATTTTATATACAACAGTCCTTTTTTTATTGTATAAAAATAGCTACTTTTTATTTTTAAATCAACTGTATCAAGACTTTATAATGTCAAACCTTTTTTTGGCCATCATTATTAATGCCAAATCACCATCACCATTAGCGCACCACTACCACTTCTGACCTGGGGGTAGTCGTGCAGTCCATCGGCTTCTCCTCCGACTCCCTCCAGGTCTCCTAGGTCCAGCTCCAAGGTCTCCAGGCTGCGGGCACACAGAGGGCAGCTGAGCAGCTCCAGGAGCAGAGGGCTGGGCACCACGCCTGCCAGCCGGTACAGCAGCCTCCGGTGACCTGAAGGGGGAAACGGTCGGAGGTGGTCAGATGTTGCAAAGGGATGGTTCCTAGCTCTCCTCATGTGCTGCTTTTGTGCTGGTTGGCTTTACTCA